AAAGAGTCTCTCTCTCTCTCTCTCTTTCTCTCTCTCCCTCTCTCTCCCTCACTCTCTTCTCTCCCTCCCTCCCTCTCTCTCTCTGCCTCTCTCACTCTCTCTCTCTGCCTCTCTCTCTCTGTTTGCTTGCGATTCTTGACAAAATTCAAAGAGTTTGTCATGGAATCGATCATAACCGGGCATCTCGACTTCAGTCACTTTCTCACCGACGGGTCGTGACTTCTCTCTGACTGTTCTATAAATATTTTCATTGCAATTGTTCTGATGAGTTTTCCTTTCCCCTGCCCACTGAATCTGTTAAATAATAGTTTAGCGGACTATTAATTTTGTAAAGAATTGTTATCTCTGCGCTGACTTCCTCAGATACAGGACAAAATGAAGTTCATTTTGATTGGCTGAACTAGTGTGGAAATGATAGAAAGAGAAAGGTTTTTTCGGGGAGTTGACTCTTAACCGTCGAACAAAGTAGACGCGTTGACATCATGTCTGAATCTGCTCCCCAGTGAAGGGCGAAAGTGACCCCACTGGATAGAAGTCTACACGTCGACGTATTTATTAAAATAAAAAAAATTGAAATCCCTTTGTTAATGTGTTTTTATCTCCGAACCAAACCAACTAGCGACTACTGGACGAGAGAAGACGTGAGGGAGAAGATATAACAGATGAGGGAATCGACGTCGTCGCCCAAGACCACCCCCACCAAGAGGCTATGAAACACATCAATATAAACATGCTACTAGATTGGCAGCTTTTTACTATTGCACTAATTAGATGTTCTCTTCTAATAATTTATTTATCGGGCTTCTCACCTGTCTCTTTCTTGTTTTTCTGACACCTACAATCCTCAAATGCTAAACGCAACACCAATCGTCATCTACTGTCTTCCTGAATCCTCTTCATTTAATATCCTTTCCCCCTCACTAATGTCTTTTCATTTTCTTTCACACCCAGTAACCCCTTGCGTGTTAGTGCAATTATCGACTTGCTTGGGGTGAAATGATTATTAAAAATGCAACTAATATTATTAAATATTTATATCTTATTTAGTGTAAAAGAAAGAAAACGTTTGTATATTTGCGTGTGTATGTATATTTGTCTTTTTTCTTTGCTTTACCTCTAGTCCGACATGCGTATTTCATCTTATATGATTGCATCGTACATATGTATGTATTTGCACTTCTTACCTTTATTCGATCCACCTTTTTATCTATATGTTTGTTTGCGTATGTAAAATATTGATAATTTGTATTGTTTTATTAGTGTATTTATGCTTGAATTTTGGTGAGTCTTATTATCTGTTTATAGATACGTGTGTGTGATCGCTTGTAGATGCTTCTACTTGTATGTACATGTCTGAAATAATTTTGTTTTGCGTGTTTTTGTTATGTTTATCTGCATTTATTCTTCCTTTTATTCTTATTTTATTCTTATTTTTATTTTCCTTTTTTGAATTTTTCCTTCTCTTTCCTGTGTGAATATCCGTCCTTATATTTACGTGCTTATATATTCGATTATATATACGTGTTTGTGTATTAGGATGTGAATGTGTTTGTCCTGTCATTTGAAAATTCCTTTCCCTATCCACCTCCTTATTTGAATTCACACTCCCATGTATCAAACATATGTAGCGATCGTTGATACTTCTCATATCAGCGTCGAAATTAACTGATAAATTGGCAAAATAAAAATATATAAATTTTCTCATAGGTTCATTTCTGAAAAATGTTCTAATAAGATTAAACCTGATGTTCGGGTAAATTTAGAATATGATATGTGTAACATTTAATTTTTTTTAATTTTAAACTTAACTGTAATTAAAACTTTATTTGTTCTAATGATTAGTAATTTAATCTTAACATTAATGCACTAATAGATTGTCAAGTTATTTTGAATTACTATATACTTGTATTCTGATTGGTCATCATAGATTACGTAACAATGTTTCCCCTACTGAGAGGGTTTGGTTGGTTTTTGAAATCTTAAAACCCTTCTGTAATCAATCCTACCACTTAGTAAGACGCCAGTATTGTTGAAACAAAATCGTAAATTTGGAGTAATGTTATAACATGCATATGTTATAATTTTGTATATATATATATATATATATATATATATATATATGTGTGTGTGTGTGTGTGTGTGTGTAATTAGGCAAAAATCCTTCTTTCATGCACATTTCATTGAATAAGACAGACAAGGTGTTTTTATTTAGTTTATATATATATATATAGTTTCTCAAGCGATCTAATATTTTTTCTTCTATTCATATGATAAATTATATAAAAACTGTCCGAATGTTCTTTTTATCCGAGCGCTTTCGGCTACACATTTAGTGATTTTCAAGGATTAAAACTAATATAAGGAATAGTTGTATGTATGTTTTATAAAATGTTTTTATATATATATATATATATATATATATATATATATATATATATGAAATAAATAGGTTAATGGTCAGAGTTGAATTTTTTTTATTAATGAATGATTTATTTAAAAATAAATAAGTGAAGTGTGATAGAAGTGGCAGAGGAGGAGCAGGAGTTAAACAAGAGTACTGGAAATTTATCGGGGGTGGTTAAAGGAAATGTACCTACTTTCTTTTCATCCATGTTCATAAGAACTCAAAAGGAACTGTTTAGTGTTTAGCAACGAGTTGTAATTTCAGATCTCTCATACAAAAGATTTTGGGTCTGGAAATGTTATTATTGCTAATCTTTTCTTGTTGACAAAGGTTGTAGATATTACTATGACTGTTTAATTTTTCCAGTTTACAATCGGATCTTTGTTATTCTTTCTTTTAGTTTCCACACGTGGTTTGCTAGTCTGGTAGAATTCTTAAGACATTCTAGTTTGTATAATGACATGTGATTATATCACCTCTTCTTGAAGCTACCTTCAGTACACCCGAAATATGTTTTGTTTTGGCCATTTCTATCTATTACTTCTCTTTTGTAAGTTACTGCTTCAGTACTGAAAACTCCTTCTATCTGACATCTACTTTCATTTCTACATTTGCATATTTCACTGTTAACGATGTTTAGCTGCACTTTAGTTTTGAAATTTCTGACGTTTTTCACCTTTGGACAGGGCTGTTTTACACACGCGCGTGCGCACACACACTCATGCACATATGTATACGTAATGTTACACCTATCCAACCACAGTTCCATTGGAACCCATTTAAACACATACACACGCACAAACTTAACAGACTCCTTCCAAAACATACTTGCATAAAATACAAACATAACATGATCCACATGTAAAAAAATAATGAAAACCTTAATAATAAAAAAGAATAAGCCAACATTCATTAATATTAACTACGAGGGTACTGTGTTCGGAAAATAAAACATCCCTATAACTGTAGAAATGTACGCACTACCCATACTACCAGTTAAAAAGCAAAAAATAAAATCATCCTTGATAATGGCTTAAAGTATAATCGAAAGCGCTCGGAATTACAGAACATTTGAACAGTTTCTACACATTCTGTGTCCCAAAAAAATAAACCTAAAGAACAAAACTAAACTACCTAGGTTTCAGCTACGCAGATCGTCAGGGCGGAGTGGCTAAAGAGGTATAAGAATAGAAAATGTATAGCTTACAACACAAAAACATGACCATGTGACCAAAGATTTTTGTGTTGTAGGCTATATATTTTCTGTTCTTATAGTACCTCTTTAGCCAATCTTCCCTGACGATCCGCGTAGGTGAAGCCCAGGTAGGTTAGTGTGGCTCGTTAGGTTTATTTACTGATTTTGCTCTATTTAGCGTATTGAGCACTTTGTTTAGTTATTTTACTTTACTCGTGTCGGAGGTTTTTTTCACTGGACTCTGAACTTAGGTTCTAGACGATTATTTTCGCCGGAAGTACATGTTCTTGGTTCCTTCTTTTTTTACTCTTTTTTTCCCCTTTGGGTATTAGTTTTTCATTCACAAGCTAAAACACCTAAGGTTTTGCCGGACGAGTATAGCTGCTTACATTTATAAGTTTATTAGTGTTATATATATATATATATATATATATATATATATATATATATATATATATAAGCTTTTCATCCAAGCAAGGCAAGAATGCCACTAGCACGCAAGGGGTTACAGATAGTGGGAGCAAGAGTAAAGAGGCATGAAAGAGGAAGGACTGAAGGGAAGGACGGGCACCAGGAGATGCCGATTGACATTGCATTTGAATAACAGCAGATTATAACTATCAGGGAAGCAAGTCAGAGGAAGGTGGTTCCACAGACGGGAGGTGCTAGACACGAATCTATTGGAGTAGAAGAGGCGACTACATTTAACCGTTTCGACAGTGAAAGTGTGGGACTGAGATGCCGACCTATTGGCACATTTAAATTCATGCAGTCTGGAAACTAGCGAAAGTAGCTCGTCGGAGCATTTACCGTGAAAGTATTTGTAGAAAAGACAGAGGGAGGCGACGGCACGTCTGTGATAGAGCGACTGTAAACGAGATGCCAGATCAGGGTAAACCACATTGCATATCCATCTCTGGATTATGTCGACGATATGGCAGTAGTATTCCATCCATGGGGGAATGGCTGATTTATAGATTTGAAGGATGAAATCGGGCGAGATAAACTTTCTGGCGCGACACACAGAACCAATTTTCCTAGCAGTAAATGATGCTATTGATTCAATGCAACTGTTCCATCACGGGTTAGCGGCAGTGGGTGACCAAGCAATCGCAAAGTTTCGTGGAGTTGAGTATCAGACATTCTAATGTGAGGCAGGGAGGTTTCTCTCTGGTGGGTAATAGAGGTCAGTTTTGTTTTTGAGGCATAAAGTTAACCAGCCATGACTTGCTCCAGTCAACAACCGATTGGAGGTCCTTTTCGAGACCAAGGTTAGTTTTGTCAGCGATACCAGATTTGCTATTTAGGTAGGAGTAAATAGTAGTGTCTGCATAGATACCTACTTTGGTACTGATGACATCGGGAAAAAGGTTAATGAAGAAGATAAAGTTAGCTAGCTAGCTAAATAGATAGATAGATAGATAGATAGATAGATAGATAGATAGATAGATACTATTTGAAATAGTAGCCCCAGTTTTATTTATTAAACTGTATATTACGTTTATTCTTTTGCTCATTTAAAAATACGGAGGACGTAGTTTATAAAAACGTTTGAAAATAAAAACGGTTAAAAATAAATGCATTTATTTTTTTAACCCGTACAATATATATATTTTTAATATATATATATATATATATATATATATATATATATTTTAACCTTTATAAATATATATATATATATATATATATATATATATAAATGCAGGTATGCAGAAAATAGAAAAGAACATGTTGGGTGCATAATCCGGAGTTCCTTAGTTTTTTGTTTTTATTTTAAGAAGACAGTGCTCCATACAGAAGTAGAAATTTTATTATAATATTTTTTGTTTAAAAGGAATCACATTTTTAAACAAAAAAATTATTATATATATATATATATATATATATATATATATATATATATATATATTTGTAAAGAATGCATTTATTTTTAACCCGTTTTCATATATATATATATATATGTTTGTATGTCAGTGGGTGTGTATTTATGTTATCTATATTGTATTATTTGGAGCAAACAAGATATGTTTCGTATTTACTACTTAAAGAAAAGCATTATACTCCAGAAGAAAAAGGGGTCCTTTGTATCGAGCAAGAGAAATGGAGAAATAAGCATTAGAATTTATTATGTTCATGTTTTGTTACCAATTAAATAATTGATTATGCTTCTTATAAATTAACATTTATAGTCGGAAGCTTTTTGTTCGATTCGAGCACTGAATGAAGAGATTGTCATTGACCTTTTTTTGTGCTTTTTGTAAATACACCAGCATTTTCTTTTTACCCTTTCTTTTTTTGGGGTGATATATAACAAAAGAAAGATTAATCATTCAAGATGTAAAAACGGCCAGAGAAGAATAAAATCAGAAAGGAAAAGATGGAAGAATGGAATCAGAGAAGAGAAGGTGAAAGAATGGAGTCAAAAAGGAGAAGGTGAGACAATGTTATCAAAAGGGAAAAGATGAAAGAAATATCGGTAGATGTATTGGAAAAATAGAAAAGAAAAAGATAGTATAAACTTGTAAATGAGATAACGAAAAGAATAAAAAAAAACAGAAAGCGAAAAACTAAAAGAAGGAAGTCTAATAAGGAATGCTAAAGGGTTGGACGATTTCCTCAAAGATGAAAAAATTCGAGGCGACGGAGATGTGGTTCTACAGAAGGATGCTAAGGATATCATAGACCTAGTTTGTGAGCAACGATGAGGTCTTAGAGGTGATGCAAACATGGAGGAGGCGTATACTTAACATCAGGAAGAGGTAGCTGGAGTTCCTGGGACAAATAATGAGGATGAAGGGCCTGGAGAATCTGATACTCACGGGTCGAATAGAGGGAAAGCAACACAAGAAAAAACAACGCATGACATACCTAGCGGCCCTAAGTAAGTGGATGACAGGACGTGTTCTGGGGGAGGTGGCAGAGTGAAGGAATTTGTGGTGAGCTGCAACGGATAAAGAGAGGTACAGAGCCATGATCGCATAAGTCCTGAAAGGACACGGCACATAGAAAGAAAGAATAGGGTATTCTTTACTTATGAACTTATCTTGCAGACCATTATTTCTGTGGTTTGTTTGATACCCGTTATTTTCCACTCACATTAAATTTTCTGTAATGTTTCACCTTCGTGAAAAACAAATAAATACAAACAAAATAACGGCTTTTCAAAATGGCGGTTATTCTCTTGACACCGCTGTTACATAGTTTTCTTGACTTTTCGTCAATATTTGTTTACAAAATTATAAAAAATATGAGAATGAAGTAATATGTGATATTTATTGTTTGCAATATTATAGAAATATGAGAATGTATGTAATATGCGATATTTATTGTTTACAATATTCTAAAAATATGGGAAAGAAATAATATGCGTTATTTATTGTTTAAAATGTGATAAAAATATGGCAATGAAGTAATATGCGACATTTATTGTTTACAAAATTTTAAAAATATGTAAGTAATGTGCGATATTTATTGTATGCAATATTATAAAAAATATGGGAATGTATGTAATATGCGATATTTATTGGTTGCAGTATGGTATAAATATGGGAATTAAGCAATATGAGATATTTATTGTTTGCAATATGATAAAAATATGGGGATGAAGTAATATGCGATATTTACTATTTACCTTTGATGAAGATTTATTATTTAATATTTTATAAAGAAACAAATTTGAAAAGAAATATTTTTATTAAAAAATGAATAAGATATTACAAAATTATCAAAATAAACCAATGACAATGCAATATTTACGGTGAAAATTACAGACATTTTGTTCTTAAACACAAAGAAAAATGCGTCCATCAAATGAATAGAGATATACACAAAATAATAAGTATTTGAATTCTTACCTATAATCTAAAATTAAAAGAATGTTTGGTTCAGAGGAAGAGAT